AAGAAAGGGACATTTACTACTTTGCCTGTTGTGACTTTATTTTATGAAATCATTCTGATTAAATAATTCAGTTTCTTTTAATACAAAATTATTCCTTTTAACAGATCTTTTTCTATTATAAAAAAGAAGATATATTCAACATGGGCCACAACATAGTATTATATCTGAGATATTCAAATATAGATGTGTTTCAAGACAAGGCCTCCCATCTTAATTGATTATTTACCTCTTCAACAATACTTATTTCCTTCCCTTCCTGCCCCTGCCTTTCTTCTGAGCTTTATTATTTTATCTTTCCCTGGTATCTTTCCCTTCACTTGGCCTATGTATGAACCCCAGAGTTCTCCCTAAAACACTGGTAGGCTTGTACAGTCCTCACCTTCCTCACAAGCCTAGAACTAAAGAAAGCTATCAGGGCTGCAAAGCTTCCTTTGGTAGTCATTGTTGTTGAAAGGATTTCCATATGTGTAAATATTTTTAGGAAAACTATTGCAGACAGTGCAAATGATCTGCCTTGGATCGAGTAACATCCCAGGGACCACCCCACATGGGACTTTCCTCATCCCTCCCAAAATGGTAGAACTCAGAGAAAATGAACATCAAAGTCTACCATGAAGAAGAAAAGGAAAAGAAAAGGTATCACAAAAGAGCAGTATAAAGCCTGGAGAAAAAGTTGAGAAAGGGATAGTGTGTGGCCAGGCAGCCAGCCCCAATGGTGCTGGATAGCCCCATTTGCCAAATTCTCAGGGTGTTTTCCTGTGATTGCTCCTTATGCCAAGATCCTGTGCTCCATGTGAAAACCCCACACTGTACCCTAGAAGTGCATTAATGTACATAGTTACCGTTCAATAAAAAAAAAAAAAAAAAAAAAAAAAAGATCCTGTGCTCAAGGCAGTTCTCATTCACTGCAGTCATTTCATAACTGAGTTGGAGAGGAATAAAGCAGGAGGCGGTGAAAGGGGTATCATGTTACTTATTTCAGTAAAGGTGAATTAGAAAACATACTTTCATATTTAATAAAGGAAGATAATTTCTATGCAAAATAAGTTCTGATTAAAAGTTGCAGTGGAGGAAGATAAAACAATTTTCCCTCCATCTCACCTTTTTCACCACCATCCTTCCACCAAGCAGACGCCATAAAGCAGTTCTCTGAAGTGTTCAGATTTAGGTAGGTTAGGAAAAGGCCGCATTCCTGTGCCCCAGCCCCCCTTATCCAGTGTATCTAAAGTAAAGTTAAGCCCAAAGCCTCAGCTCTAAGTCAGGGGGTACTTTGCTTTCCTGTACAATTTTTCCGAAATTCATCCATTTTAGGAACCTCATGAAAGAAACAGCTGTAATCTGAGATGGGATTTACATTTATTGGGACTTTGGGGACACAGTATCATCCTACAGGACCCCAACATCCTTCCCCACCCCAATTTTCAAGGCTGTCATAGTTTCATCATAATTGTTAGCAGAGTCATTTATCAAATTAGCTAAGCCATTACTGGACAGAAATCAAGGCCCAGAGGATGGTGGGCTACAAGGAAGGGACCCAAAGAAATTTTATCATATCCTGATCTCAAGTGCTGGTGGCTGGGGAGGATTGGACAGCCTTGGAAACGGTATTGAGAAAATTTTTCAAAGGAGGCTAAAAGGGAATAAATGGGAAGGACTTGAAACAGATCTGCCTTGAAGTCTAAGGAGCAGGGCTTCTCAAATGACCTGTGGGGAAGAACAGATTTAGTTTTAGTTAATTCGTTTTTAATTGCAGTCCATTATGAAGGGATATGTTAATACAACACAAATAAATAGAAAAACTAATTAAAACACAAAGGCATACAAAATACATGCCCAGTTTTTTTATCAGATTGAACAAACTACATTTCCTTAATACAGTAAATTAAAATAGAGGCACGTTAAGTAGCTATTACAGTTTCTAAATTGTGACTCAATTTCTGTCATTGTCGTGCCCCAGATCAGTAATAAGTGTTTCATAAATGGGCACAGGCCTGTGAGCCACACATCTGAAGAAGCAGGTGTCTGGGCCACCAGAAAGCCAACACCTGGACAGAACCACAGACACAGCCTTGGAGGCACCAGAGCAGCTGTTCCATAAGGGTCTCCTGAAACACAGGAGGATCAAAAACAACATCTCTAAGAGCAGCTAACATGGACAGCTAAACACAACCCAGCAGAAGAAAACTGCAAGAATCCAACGTGTAAAGCCCGTCCTGGGCTGAGCATCAGCCTTGCACTTGTTCAGCCCAGCACAGCTGCTACAAAGCCATCCAAAGCAAACACAGCCCTCCCCACAGCAGACTCAACAGAGCAAAAACCAACACCCAGAAATAAATTAGATCACCGTGCTCATCATGTTACACGGCCCACTGTTCTCAAATCCAGAATCCTGAATGTAATAACAAATGATGCTATTAACTAACGCATTGGTTTAAAGCCAAAAGCAAATAACTCATTATTATGGACCAACATGATTCTCAGAAGTTTCCAGGTCAGTTACAAGAAAGAGTTATGAGACTATCTTCCCATTGAACTAAATCTCACCCATGTCGAATTGCAGTGTGCACAGCTAAATCCTTTTTCCTTTCTACACAGCCAGCTTTCCTCTTAGAGCATCTCAGCCCCAGGGATGTCTCAAAGCAAGGAAGGCATGTGGTTAAGTTGAAAGGAACATGGAGCCTGGAGCCAGCGCCTAAGGGCTTAAGGGCTACCTGCTAGCTCAGTAATCTCAAGCAAGTCCCCAAGCTTCAACTTCTTTATCTGTCTGTAAAACAAGGGTAGTGACAAGCAGCTCCCTGGAAATGCAGCCAAAAATGTCTGGCAATTTGCACAAAGCTATGTGGATAGCTTTGCCACACAGAAAGAAGAAATAAGCAGCTGGGAGGTATTTGGAACCATGCCCCATGGGGTTTTGTCTTTCACGCAGTTGATTTCTTCCTCAGAGGTCAGAAACCTTCCACGTGTCACACGCCATCTTCCTGATGTTGCCACCATCACTGGGTGATGATAGGGAACTCACATCATCCTATCCACCTTCCAACTCTGACAAGCGGCACCTGAGGGACATCAAGGCACATCAACAGTGGCAGAGATGACTTGAAAATCTATAGGAGCAATTGAGTGGAACAACAAGTTCGGTTTAGTAAGTTTGTGGCTTTTCTTAACCTGGCTCCTCCTTATCTCACCTTCTACTGGGTCTGGCAGGAAGTCACTGCTTTGCCTTGTTTTTGTTCATTTGTTTTAATGTGCAAAAAGCATATTGTATACAGCATTCCTATAAAATGAAAGCAGGTTATTATCAAATCCTGTGCTCTGGCATGTACTTAGCAACATACCAGTTACTTCAGGCCAGGCAGATGATTTGGTTCAGGTTGTAAGCTGTGTAGCCTTAGGAAAATCACTTAGCCTCTCTGAGCTTATTTCTTCAGTTGTAACATAACCATAATAGTTGTCCTGTGCTCCTCAAAGACATAGACGTGAAAACATAAATGATCGTGTAAAAAGAATTAGAGAAATAACTTAAGCCGATTTACTTATATATTTTTAAACTATAATGTATAATTTATATTATTTATTATAGTCCTACTTTCTTGTCCTAAAAAACAATAGTTTGGTAGCAGTCTCTTATAATCTGCCAAGCATGATACCTCTGAACTTTCATTCTCCTTCTGAAAAAAAAAATGAAAGATAGAATGCATATGTCTTAGAAAAAAGAAAGTAAGGCCTATTGATTTAATGCAAATTTTCGTCAGTGTCTCTAGAAAGCAACTGGAGTTTTGGAGCCTGATCTACCTATTTGTACTTATTTTAGAATGTTTGCAGTGTTGGTCAATATCCAGAAGAAGCAGAATCTTGTAGAATCTTAAGTCTAATATCTTTTGTAGTGAAAGAGAAAATACTTTGGAAAGCCTGGGAATGCGATGTTATCTTTTCCTGGGAAAAAGGAAGAAATGCAGTCCTTGATTTTTAAAAAGATACCATTGTATATTAAGGTCCTGGATAAACACATGGTCATTTTCATTTAAAAATGAGTGAAAGGGCCAGGTACAGTGGCTCACTCCTGCAATCCCAGCACTCCGGGAGGCCAAGGCAGGAGGACTGCTTGAGCTCAGGAGTGAGAACAGAGTAAGATGAGACCCCCATCTCTACAGAAAATAGAAACACTGGCCGGGTGTAGTGAAATATGTCTGTAGTCTCGGGGACTCAGGATGCTGAGGCAAGAGGATCACTTGAGCCCAGGAGTTTGAGGTTGCTGTGAAGTATACCGCCATGGCTCTCTACTCAGGGTGACAGAGTGAGACTCTGTCTCAAAAAAATAAAAAATAAAAATGAGTAAAAGAGAGACTCTGAATCAAAAATATGTTTCTAATGTTCCCATTTAATAACATTATAAAGTTTCCCAAAAATGTAACTAATATTTAACCAAGTTTGGTCAAATTTAGAAGAAATGGCATGACCAGGAATCAGCTTGCTGCAAACCATATGGCTTTGGGCTTTAGCTGAGCCACATTTGGAATAACCAGGATCTATTCAAAAGTCTGTGTCTCTCTTCATTATAAATCTATATCCAAACAAAAAACAAAGAGGAATGAAATATGCCAGGCACCATTTTATGCCAGGAAAAATAGTTAAGTATTGCTGTAGAGCAGTGAACATCTTTGAACTCTACCATGTCGTTAAGTTCTTAAGGTGTAGGTAGTTTTCATTTCTTACCATTTATACCATGAGTATTTGCATGCAGATACTGGAGACAGTTGCCTCCAGAAACGAGTTTTTCATTGCACTCATACTTCTCCCCCAAAAGTGCTAAAAGCACAGATCTGAAACTCCCCAACTGATACACACTTTTAAACTTAGGTGTGAAAAAAAAATCATACCTCTAGAACACTTGTGGTGAGAACTTTAAAACTTGCGAGAACAAAACTCAGACTTCAGAATCTTCTTCCTTTGTTGATAGGATACAAGTATTTCATCTGGGCTTTTAAATCGAAGTTATTAAAATGACTAAGTTTTCTTCTTTTTCTCTATTTTGCCTAATAGCTGGGGCTTATATGACTCCAGAATGTAAGTATCTCTTATATATTTACCCCATATAAATGCTAATTTCTGGTGATTTTGTTGTTACATTATAGATGAAAATGATCTTCACAATCGTTTCCATCCTTCTGAACTATGATGTGCTATACAACTTTTCATCAGTAAAATTAGGTAGAGTTGTGGGGGGGGTAGCTTTAAAAATAATGTAGTGACTGTCATTGGAAGAATTACAGGAAACAATCTGCTTGGATCTTTCATGTGAAACCCTTTGGCTTACTTCTGTAGGTTTCACTATGGAGATTATTGGAGGGAGAGAAGTGTCACCTCATTCCAGACCGTTCATGGCTTCTATCCAGTATGACGGAAAGCACTATTGTGGAGGGGTTCTGATCGCTCCGCAGTGGGTGCTCACAGCAGCTCACTGCTACATTCGGTGAGTCCTCACCCTCTTCCACATATGTGTTTTTTCTGCAGGTGGCTAGAAGATAAACTTGCTTCTCCTGAGTGAGAACTCAGCATACTGATAGCTTCTGCCATCACTGACTGTCTGAAGGTGTATTTACCCTTTTGCACATCCATGTTTTCTGTCCTGAGTTGTCCTTTTTCAGGGAGAGCTGGGCTTTTTTCTCCAGGAAAGCTATTAGACAAGTTCAAGTCCCCTGCTCAATGCCAGGGAACACAGCAACAGTAGCACCCGAGGCCACAGTTCTGCTGACCCTGATGGGTCACAGAGCTCAGGAGCACGTTGGACAGCCGGAGCTTGCTCTGTGCTCCTTAACTTCCCCATTTTACAAATGGGCAGTAATCATCCTCTCCCCTGTCCTACCATTTGAGAATTCAGTGGTATCTCCCTAAGAATTCTAGCTCTCTCTCACTCTACTCCACTGTGGTGAGTGTGATGAGTCCCGTTTGTCGCCACGTCCTCTCACAAGACTTTCAGAGTCAAGTGGTTTTTGGCCAAGAAACAAAACCAAAATCGTCCCGTTTCCCCCAGTGGGTTCAAATGAAAACCTGTAATAAAATCAGATACAACTCAAAGAGGAGACCCTGGAGAAAAACCACGCTGGGTCTATAAGGAATTGCACGTGAGATGGCACGTACACGGACTTATGCTGTATTATGGTCACTATCATCTTACCATATCAAGCTGCCAATGTCATCAGCTGGCCAGTTGGCCACTTTTCATTGGGAAAATGAGTTTTCTCTTTGTTTACGTGCTGTTCACTAATAAGCTGGTGCAGTAATAAATATGTGAGACCTCGTGTTTGAGGAAAATAAAAAGAATTTTAGCATGCTTGGCACACTTAGTAAGCCCAAACAGGCTGCAGCTATTATTACGAGCATGATGTGTGTGAGAAGCCCGCCTCTCAGACCCCTTACGTTAACCCCTCAGCCCTCACCACGAGCATCTGAGGCCCATAGTTCGGGAATCATAAAATTCCCCGGCAGACAACTTTCCTAGGTTGGAAAAAAAAGTTATAGATGATTTGTAAAAAGAGAAAGAAAGCGAGAAAGTTATTTTTCTGGGATACTTGGAATAAACGCTTTTCTTAAGATGGATTACAACCTCCCAAAGTCCATTCCAGGCGAAGATTCTCTTATTTCAGTTAATGAAGTACCAGAAATCATTTTGACATTACTGCAACCACCACCTAAGGAAAAGCCACAGAAAACTAATAGATTTGTCATTTCGTAGATTTGCTGGGGCTTTTTTGGTTTTGTTTTTTGTTTGTATATTTGTTCCCTTATGTTTCTCCCCTGAATAGGCTGAGATGGAGGCTTCTCTTTTTCCTACAAACATGACAGCATTTCCCTTACACATCTGTCTTCAGCGTAAGGCATCAGCTATACCTACTAGAACAACCAAATTGACTTGCTTCATCATGCTTTGGGGGTTTTGTCTGATTGCTCCACTTTCATGGAACTCTTTGATCACAAATGGAATGTTTTGAAGCCTGTAAACAGGGAGAACTTCTGTTTTACTTCTAAATATAATAGCAAGGTGCTGATTTCCAAAGGCTACTATGTTTAAATGCAGTTCTTGCCCTCAGAGAAATCACCCTTGCTTCCCCATCCCTTTTGTCCCCCTCTCCAGAGTGTTTGCCCCCTTGGGAACAGTGAGGTAGAGGGTAAGTCCTTAATGCTCATTCATTGCAAAATATGCACATGCTCAAATGAGTTTACCGTACACATTCCAATGGCCTATGCCCTACCTGGAGTTTGACATACAAATATTCAGCAAATTGCTGGTTGGATTAGAAGACTTTTTGTTTCCTTTTGTTTTGAGTTTTTTTGACTAAGCCTAAAACCCAATATATGAAATAGTCCTTCACAAACCATAAAGGACTACAGGAAGGCAGATAATGTGATTAAGGTGGATTTTAACTTTTGTAGACTTAATTCAAGAAAAGTAGATTCTCAGGTTGGGGAAAGGGACTATATAAAAAGACTGGAAAAAGATCTTAGAATTTTGGAAAAAAAAACAAATATTGCTAAATATCATTTTAAATGGCTAGAGTATAAAGAACTCCAAAATATGTGGATCAGATTTCCTCTACAGCGTAAAAAGTAGGCAGATCAACGCTTGGAAAAATATTAAGCTTTATGAAATTCAAAATATTTATGAAATAGTTCAATGGTGGCTTCCCACAAATGTACTCCCAAGTCTCCTGTCAGAATAATTTACCCCAGGCCTCTTGCTCAGCAGAATGTTGAAGCGGGCCAAATCTGGAGGGGCTCCCTTCTCACCACCCATCCACATGGTGCCCCACTCCCCATAGTATCTTGGCCATTTTATTAGTTGTTGTATAAAATATAAAAGGAAAAAAAAAATTCGCGTATAATCTTTCCAGCATTTTAATTTATCAGAAGCAAAACTCTCACCAAATGTTATCCACTGTCCCCCACCCCAAGTCTCCTGTCCCTTGCCTGCCTCACAAGTTCTTAGGTAGAACCTGCCACCACCTTTCCATACAGCCTCACTCCTCCTCAAACACTCAAGGCTCCTGGAGTAAAATGTGAAATATGTGGGCTCTGGGTTCAAACCAACAGAGCTTTAGTCCTGCCTGAGTTTGCGTCCTGGAGCCTTCACTTACTATATCTGTAGGATGTTCTCACGTTGTTTAATTTACCTGGACTTCAATTTCCTCATCTATAAAATGGGGGCCATCATAATACCCACCTCACAGCATAGTTGTGAGGTCTGAATAATATGTAAAATGCTTAGTACAGAATGTAAGAACTTAGTAGGTGTCCTTAAGTCTTGTTATGTGACTATCTGCGCCATTGTCTTGGTGGGTAGGACTGGGCAAACCTCCCCATCTGGCAGCCACACCAAGTCCTTCTCTCTATTAGGCAAGTGAACTATAGGGACCTGCCTCTGCTGCCAGATCTAAGCAGAAACATTGCTCGGTGTCCAGGCAGGCAAGCCAAGAACATGAGCACCTTAGAGCAGCTTGGCACTGGGCCTAAAGAGGTGCTGGGGAAAGAGCACTGGACTTGGAGTTACAAAAGCTAGATCTGGGTGCTGATTTCCCTACTTATGAGGAGACTGGATACATAGCCCATTGGCTTTAATAACTGAAAAAGGGTATTATTAGGCTCAGCTGAGACAATGTTTACCAGTGTCTTCAGCGGATGATGAAAATCACTATAAGCAATTCTGCGGTGCTGCTCCATATGTAATTCTGTTCTAGGTTAAGTCCAAGGTGGGACTCACGAAGTATGTTTGAAACAACCACATCCCAGTGATTCTGAAGCAGGTCTGAAGACCACACTTAGACAAATACTGTGTTAGGCAGATGAAAGATATGGTATTATTACTCCCCTTCTGTGTGAATTCAGATGAGGCCTAGTGTAGGAGGTGAGAGCCTAAAACTCAAGTAATTACAGGTATCCCATGGGCAGAAAAATAGATCTCGGTAATCTAGACTGCAGTGGAAAGATATCTAGAAATTGACAGTTCAGAAAACACAATGGTCTGCTGGGTTGTTTTAGGAATCGATATGTCCCAGTGAAGATGAAAATAACTAAAACATTTTAAAGACATAACTAGTCAACAAAATTAGTTAAAAGATGTAAGAAAACCAGAAATTTTCTCAGCACTCCTCCCTTGGGCAGAATCCTCCTTCTAAACCCTGCCTTTGCACCAAATTTGTAGCCTTCTTTGTGTGAATGATTTATGCACATATCTACTTTTCTGCCGGAGCATTAATCCTGGGGATTTTATATCATCCTTCCCCTCTAAAGCTTTGGGTTTAGTGAGTATGTTGAATTTGAATTTGAATCACTCCTAGGAAATCCAATCCACATCCTATGAGAAAATTCAACCCCATCTTGATTTCGCAATAGGCAAACATTTCAAAAAATAGAGTTGGAATTCCCACAATAAACCAAAATAAACTCTTTTGGTAGAAACAACAAAAAAGGGGTCATTCCAGGCAGTCACAGCACTGCCATAGCAAACTCACTCCCCTGCACTGAAGTACTTATTCTCCAAACCTGAAATAATCATTTCTTCCTTTTTTCTGTATGTTTCTGTGCTCTTTTTAATTTTTATTAATTTGTATTTATCTGGTGCATGAGTATATACTTTTTATATAATCTACCTTGCTCCCTTCTTTAAGTAGCAAAGCCATGTTTATATGTATACAAATAAATACAATTATCTTTATAGCCTTTCTTTTTCCACAACAAAGATTTGAGGTGGCTTCCTCACCTCAAATGCAATGAAGCCACACATTGTCATGAGATACCATCTACTACCCCATAGTAGACAAGTGGCTCCAAGGTGTTGCCAAGATCTCAAAAAAATCATTTCTACTTTCAACACCGGCTATAAATGTAATTTTATCCACTATACAGTAAATTAGATTCTGGCACTATTGAAACACTAGAATTCTGTATTTTAGACACATATATATACCAGAATTGTGTATGACTAGGGATTAAAAAACCAAACAAAAATATCTATGTTTTCTCACCTGTCTCACCAGTTTGTGCCATATCAATATCCACAATGAAATGGCTACCAACCTTCAAGTATCTTCATTTTCAAATTAGGAATGTTTTTTCACCTTAAGGAAAGTTTTCTTTTCTTGTCCAAATTATCTTTCTAACTGAGGGGACAGGACAGATGAGCATATCTGACAGGCACATCACAGGCCTTGCTTCACTTTGCAGCCCTGACATGAGGTCTAGACACACAGATGAGCAAGTATAGAGTGTGATCTTCACCTTAATTATGAAAACACCACTGGAAGATGAAAATGTTTTGTAGAAGGATGATAGTGGAGGATGAACAACAATATAAATGTCCTTCGTGCCCACTAAGCTGGACATTTAAAATGGTTACAATTTTTTCATAGCAAAATTCAGTATGAGGTATAATTTACTGCAATTAAAAAAAAACTTTAAGATTAGTTGGTATAAGTCCCAAACTACAAACTCAAGAAATATGATTTATTTTTATATAGATGAACACAACTTTCTTGCTAACTTGTTCCAAGTCAATTCAGATTTCACCCCCTTTTCCCCACAATTGGATACAAGTTCTGATATTCTTTTGCAATGCCAGGGTGGGATTAAGGACGAGTCATTTGGCCCTCGATATTGATTCATGCTGGGGTCTACTGAGACCTCATCGCTCCATTTAATCTTAAGCAGGTTGCCTTGGTGATAGTCCTTGTTTCCCTACATATACGACCCTCTCGCCATCTCTACTCCCCACTGGGGGATTTGGAAGTCATTCTGTTACTTTCATTCTCTTTGCTTTTTCAGGTTTGCCAAAAGCCAGCCTCCCACTGTGGTTTTAGGAGCACACTCTCTCTCAAAGAATGAGGCCTCCAAACAAACATTTGAGATTAAAAAATTCATACCATTCTCAAGATTTACATCAGATCCTCCATCCAATGATATCATGCTGGTTAAGGTATGTAGCATGGCCTTCCTTCAGTTTTGCCAACATTCTTACCATCATGGCTCACTTAGCTAAACCATCTACACAAAAGCAGTTTGTTACCACCCTCCCCATGTTTGAAGTATTCAATAAGGGCCCATGTTACTCCCCATACTTCCTTGAAAGAAATAAGAATTTATCACAAATACATTAGGGCTATGTTTATACAAGGAAAAACAACTCAGATGCTCACATATGTAGGAGGGGATCATCTCAACAGGCTCAAGGATCCTGAGCCTGCAAGCTTATTTTTCTCAAATGCTTTTCTCATTAGCAAGTGAAAAATGCACCAGTCAAGTGTATAGCAGAGCCAACCAAGTAACTTCAGGGACTCAGAAGTGAGTTACAACTTAGTCTCGTCTGAACTTAGTCTAGACCATATTCAAGAGTCCTATCCAACAGGAAACAGCCCAGCCCTCAGAGTCACGACCTATGGATGTTATTCCACAGAAAACCATCCAATGCAGGGCAAAGGCCAGTTTGCTCGAGACTGGGCAAAATTCCTACTCTGTATAAGTTCCCTCCCCAAGTCTCAGTGAGGTCCACAGGGAATGGACACTGTTCAGAAAAGTAACAGCCACAAATACAGCTGCAGGCCACCACCAAAGTAGATTCAAGCAAAGGGACACCCCCTCCCCAAGACAGAAGGACCACACATACAATGCACAGGCTACCAGCAGAATACTACTGGGAAAGGAGGATCATTTATTCTTTTTTTAATCTGTCAGCTTCATACGGCCGCACAACTCAACAAGGATGTTCAGCTGCTCCGCCTAAGATCCAAAAACTATCTTAGAGCTGGAACCAAATGCCAGGTTACTGGTTGGGGAGCCACAGACTCAGATTTTTCGCGGTTCTCTGATACCCTGCAAGAAGTCACTGTGACTGTCATAAGTCGCGATGTTTGCAACAGCCAAAGTTATTACAACCGCAACCCTGTCATAACCAAAGACATGGTGTGTGCAGGAGATGCCAGAGGCCAAAAGGATGCCTGCAAGGTAAGAGTCTCCTATTCAAAGAGGCGTCTCAGAGGACTGCACTGCAGCCAAGTCTCCATTTGCTTGTTAACCTTGAGGAGGAGCAGCATGGAGACTATAAAACCACAAGTCTAAATATGTCCCTCCATTCCTGAAGAGCAGTCTCTATTCTTTCTCATCTACCAATTGAATGGGTCGTAAAAATGTCCACAGTACTTAAATAAGCACTCATTAAATGTTTGTTAATCAGGATGGGAGACTATTTTTGACAACTCTTCTAGGCTTCCTAGGAGAGGTGTTATCATCCTTTGAAAGTCTACACTGAAATCTCTAGTGGTGATTAGAAGATAACTTATCCAAAGAACCACCTTTCAAATTAGTCATTAAGGAGGGCTCATAAAACTCAAATCAAAAAGTCCAGATATACAGTATGTATTTCTTAAATAATGTTGACTATCATAGTCTGTTTGGGCTGCTAAAATAAAATGAACCAGGTAGCTTATAAATGACAGAAATGTATTTCCTACAGTTCTGAAGGCAGGGAAGCTCAAGATCAAGGCACAGCAGATTTGGTGGTGAGAGGTCACTTTCTGACCTCTTAGACGACCTCTTTTCACTCTCCCCTCACATGGTGGAAAAGACGAGGGGTCTCTCTCAGGCTTCTTTAATAAGGGCATTAATGCCACTCATGAGATTTCCACCCCCAGCACCGAATCACCTCCTTAGTCTCTTGGGAGTGGTCGCAACATATGAATTCGGGAGGGACACAAACTTTCAGCCCATACCACTGATTCACAAAAAGGAATAACAATAATTGTATTTTTCAAAATCTTTGGTTTATTGAGGTAGTAAGAAAGAAAATTGGGTGCCCATGTTCATAGGTGACTAATCCATAGCACAGATGGGTTACTAATTTTTTTAAAATTAAAATATATTATTCACATCATACTATGTTAAGCATTATTGAAGGAAAGGGGATGATGACTTCAAATGTCCTATATAGCTGCAATGTCCCCACACTTTGACCCTCTTAAACATCTGTTATCAAGGCTGACCACAGCACAAGGCACTGCAATTTGCAATGTGACCAGTGGCAGAGGCAAAGGCTAGTCTTCAAATCAGAAAGCCATCTCTTTATCTGACAGGCCATGCCATCCCTTCTATAATTCTTTTACTTCTTTTGACAGTTACTGTTTTGTTATTAAAGTGATTCTTCAAAAATTATTTCATTCAAGTGATTCTTCAAAAATTATTTCATTCAAATTATTTCATTCATTATTTACTAAGCATGGCATAGTATATATCTCACTGCTCCACCACGTAAGCATGCAAAATAAAAAAGGAAAAGAATAAGAGAGAAGATACAGTCCCTGCTACCAAGTTATTTGCTACAGTGCATCATTCTCTTTTGCTAGTTTCAATAGCAACTTGATTTCAGGTCTGTGAGCACCAAAAGAAAATCCACAAGTTAAAACATTTCTTTTACTCCAGGGGATTATTTAAACCTTTGTGTCTACCCATTCTTTAATGAGTAAAGTTCAATAGTCATGAATTACAAAAGGAATGTAGACAGAGAGACGGTAGAGAGACAGGGGATGGACATAGAGACAGAGGCACAGTCATAGTTGTAGACAGAGATGTAAACAGAGACAAAAACAGACAGACAGACAAGCACAGTCCCAGACAGCAACAGAGACAGAGAGGGAGTGCCGGGCACTCTTCAGGACACAAGAGAAAACAAAGACCCACGTAATAATCCTTTGAGCAACAAATAGTTGGTGGCAAGAAAATCTTAACAGCTTCTCTTCAAGTATCTGCCCATTTTCTTTTTTCCAGGGTGACTCAGGGGGCCCCTTGGTGTGTAGAGGTGTCTTCCAGGCCATAGTCTCTTCAGGTGATAAGTGTGGTGTTGCCAAGAAGCCTGGAATCTACACCCTGTTAACCAAGAAGTACCAGACTTGGATCAAAAGCAAGGTCGTTCCATCTCATGCAAATTTAGATTACAAATGATTTTCCTGGATCTACCAGTTACTTGCTTCTTTTTTACCTAATACGCTGACTGGCCGATTTTATCTTCAGATGTAGCTCAATGCCGGTAAAGCAGAGCGCAGTCGGGGTCCCTTTCTGCTCCCTTATGGCTGATTCTGCCAAGGAATCGAGTTCTTTTTCAAATGTATCACTGATGTATTTTTACCATGCTGATTTCATTCCAAATAAAATTTAGAAGACTATCTGTTTATTTTTTATGGACATGAAGTAATATCTGCCCCTGTTCCACCCACACTCCCAAGAGGGAATAGGGTCACTAAACAAGACAGTAATAGTACCACCTTCAGCCTTGTTTACCTTGTGACTTCTCCTGAATCATCCCAAGTGGTCAGAGATTCCTTTTAATTGTTGCAAGGATACTGAACATGAGATCTGCTCCTTTAGCAAAGTTTTAAGTGTACAATACACTATGTTAACTACAGGCATGATGCATGGCAAATCTCTAGAACTTGCTCGTTTTATGTCACTGAAACTTACCAGTTAAATAGCAGCTCCTCATTTTCCTGGCCACCACCGTTCTACTCCAAGCTTCTGTGAGTAGAAGCCTAACGTGTATTTTTAAAATAGTAAACAATAAGTATAAACCCCCCAACTCAAGAATCTTCAAGATTTATACAAATATTTGGACAGTATGTATTACTCATGTCACATTTTGTTCCAGAAAGGATATAGAGCAGTGTACAATCAATACCTGCGATTAAAGAAAATACAGGATTAAAAATAATTGGTGATGATACTGAGGCAAAAGGGAAATGAGTAAGAATGAGAAGACGAAGGCAGGAGTGTTCACATGACACTCATGGTGCCACAAGTTTTTTCTATACGTTTGCTAGAAGGATTCACATTTTGCCTTATGTTTTGGCCAATACAAAAAAAAAAGAAAAAGAAAAAGGAAAAAAAATCAATATAATCAGTTATATGAATTATGGTATCCAGGAAATAAAAATAAATTGTTGCCCAGAAGTAGGGGCTGGAACCGAAAGTAGAGAAATTTTCTTCCACAGTCCTCCTGAGAAAGACGTCATACTATATCTCCATATCCCCACCAACTGCATCAGGATCACCTGAGATTATTTGTGATGCAGATTCCCTTGAACTCTTGCCCAGAAATTTAGATTGAGTAGGCCTGAGGTGAGCCTGAAAATCTGCATTGTTTAAAAGCAACCTAGTTCTCTGGGAGGCCAAGGAAGGTGGACTGCCTGAGCTGAGGAGTTGGAGACCAGCCTTAGCAAGAGTTAGACCCTGTCTTTAGAAATAGCCGGGGGTTGTGGCAGGCACCTATAGTCCCAGCTACTTGGGAGGCTGGGCAAGAGGACTGCTTGAACCCAAGAGTTTGAGGTTGCTATGAGCTATGACATCATGGTACTCTACGGAGGGCAACAAAGTGAAACTCTCTCAAGAAAAACCAAAAACTAAAGCAAAACAAAAGAACATAAAAGCAATCCAGTTGTAGCCAGGCATTGTGGCGGGCACCTGTAGTCCTAGCTACTTGGGAGGCTGAGGCAGGAGAACCGCTTAAGTCCAAAGAGTTCGAGGTTGCTGTGAGCTGTGATGCCACCGCATTCTACCGAGGGTGACATAGTGAGACTGTCTCAAAAAGAAAAAAGCAATCCAATTGGTTGTGATAAATGGGCAAATCTGAAAGCCACTGATACTGAACATCCTTACTAGCATCTTATGATAAAGACGACAATGAGTTTTAAGATTATTATATATTTATTATATATTGTTTTATATAAGTCTTTCAATGAGAACTAATGACTTTAAGACCAAAGTACAATTCCCTAAGATCACTGAAAGATCTCAGCTATCTTGAACTGTGGTCATCCAGTGATTAGAGTAGTAAAGATTTCTAATTTGGATGGAGAAGCATGGTGGGAAGTGGGGAGGTTTCTCCTCCTCCAACAGAAGCCAAAAGATTAATCTCAGCCTCTATATTTAATTTGGGTTTTGGGAGATAAATAGTGCTTGTTTCCAGGCGACATCATCAAGTTCTCTTACATAGAAATGAAAATAGATACTTTTGCTTGTGTGTTTGTTTGTTTATTTTTTGTCATGGTGCTTATAAACCATTAACCAGCACTGCCCTGCACTAGGTATACTTAGAGAAATGAAAGCACTGGATTTAAAAAACCAAACAAGGCTGGGTGCAGTGACGCACACCTGTAATCTTCATATTTTGAGAAGCTGCTGTGGGAGGATTGCTTGAGGCCAGGAGTTTGAGACCAGCCTGAGCAAGAGTGAGACCCCATCCCTAGGAAAAAAGTAGTAAAATTAGCCTGGTGTGGTGGTGTGAATCTGTAGTCCCAGCTACCTGGGAGACTAAGGCAACAGGACCACTTGAGCTCAGGCATTTGAGGTTGCAAGGAACTGTGCTGGCACCACTACACTCTAGCCTGGAGACAGATGAAGACCCTGTCTCAAAAAATTAAAAACAAAAAGGCGAATGGAAGAAAAGAAGGGAAGGAGGGTAGGAGGAAGGAAATAAAGAGAAAGGGGAGAACCTAAGAAGAAAGAAAAGAAGAAGAAAAAAAGAAAGGGAAGGGAAGGGAAATAAAAAAGAAAAAAGTAAGCTAACTAAAATCATTGAGAATAAGGCAGTAAAAGAAGATTCTTTAAATACCCATCTCGTGTCATTTTTATTTATTAAAAATGTACTGATTATGAAATCCCAGACTATGTTTTATAAAAAAAGAAAATAAAAAACTGTAGATTCTCTAGACTCACCATTTTAAAAATAATTCTGTATCTATTTTCTCTAAATTCCAAATCCATGAAACATACCAGTCTTTTTAAACAAAAGGACTATGGAAATTATCCTTTATTCCAGTTGATGATTTAGACTGAAAAGCTGTTACAAAAACCTTAGGTGGTATTTTTATTTTAGCCTCTATGCTGTTAACACCCAAGAGTCAGACCCGCTCAGATTGCCAGAGAGGAAGCCTCTTTCAACAGCTATGGTAGACCTGGCAACTTTGAAATTGGAAGATAAAGAGTTTATTTTGACAAGCAGCTGATGATAGGGCCCACAATTGAAATTCATCCTTCACACTTTCAGGGAAGTAGGATTGTGTTAAACATAACGAGATCTCTCAAACATAGGAATATAGTGTTTTAATTTGGGAATTTTGTCTTTCAGAATTTATTTGATTTTTTTCCTATGGCCTCAAAATAAAGTTGAGAGTCAAAGAGAAGCAAATACCCAGATTTTAAAACTGCTCAAAGGTTTTAGGGAAAAATGATTTGCTGTTGTTACCCTGAGTCATCCCACTTTCTCCTTTCCTGTGGCTGTGTACAGAGAACATTTACCTTCCCTATCCATGTAAAAGAAAGCTTAATGCTTTATTTTATGTTCGTCCTGCTTTAATAGAAAGTGACAGCACTAAGAGCAATTAAGTCTAAATACAATGCATGAAATAAGTTAATATTCATTCAGATAAGAAATTAAACCAGGTAGCAGAACTAATCCTACCTTCTGACCTTTTGCACATCATAAATCCCAGCTCTCCCTAGAATGAAATGAAGAGTGGTGCTTTGAGCTTGATTGTTTTAGAAAGCTCTATGATTAAAGGAGGACACTCTTGGTCAACCAAGGAAGTGCTTCCTCTTTGACTAAAAACTCTCATTCTGGGAAAAAATACTGCTATGGACTGAATTGTATCTGCACTAAATTCATATATTGAAGCCTTAACCACCAGCATGTCTATATCTGGAGGTGGGACCTATAAGGAAGTAATTGAAGTAAAATAAGGTCATAAAGAGCAGGGCCTGGATCCAATAATATCAGTGTCCTTATAAGAAGAAACACCAAAGTTTGAAATCAATCTCTCTCTCTATCTCTCTCTCTCATTGCCACATGAGGACACAGTGTGAAGGCAACCACCTGTAAGCCAGTAAGTGGGCCTTCTCCAAAAATCAAATTGAGCAGCACCTGATTTTGGATTTCCCAGCCTTCAGAACTGTGAGAAATAAAGCTCCATTGTTTAAGCCACCCCGTCTGCAGTATGTTATCACAGCATCCCAGGCTGACTAGGACAGACACACATGTGGTGAGGGGGAAAGAACACTGCACTCAACCTACCTGAGGGCAAGGCACCCAATGTCTGGAGAAGCCCACAATTTCACAGAATTACTGAGACACACCTGAAAAGCTGTTCCTATGTTGTCTTAGTAGTTATTTGAGTACCAGGTGCATACTGGCTGAACAGTTGGATTCCTTGAAGACTCAGCCCTGCTTTCACACATTGACTTCCTGTTGACAAACTGACTTCTTCACTCTTTCTGCTGAGTCATATCATTCAGTTCTAGACTGACAAATGCTCCTGATCACATCTTATGTTCTATCGTGAAAGGATCGCATGCTCTTTTTACTTGTAACCATAATGCCTAACAATCACAGATCCAGAAAAAAAGGAGTCAACACAGGCTATGGACCAGCAACTACTGCTGAGGAAGGGAGGTGGGCCAGCCCCCAGACCTGTGCTCTTGTCCCGTGGCAAGTCCATCTTTATTTTATCCTGATTCCATTAAACATTGAGCTGATTCATCTGGTCTTTTTCTGATTCCATGCTTGAAGTAACCTTCTGTGAAAATTTTGCTCCATATAACAGCTATTTCTCCTTGCACATTAATAAGCATGTTGCTTTTCTACATCTATGATATTTTACCTCTAATTGGTAGTAATTCTTTTTTTTGAGAGAGAGATAAGTCACTTTTGATGTGCCAAAAAAAAAAATCAAGTTTCAATTCCTATGGTAATGAGGGTCAAACCCTGAACTTCATTATGTTGGTAAATTCACCAACATAATGAATATTAACACCATGAGGCTTTTCAAGAGCCTGATTTCCTCCTAGAGTACATCCTGCCATAAGCATAAAATGTGCTAATATTTGGAGCAGCTATACATTCATATTCCTATTTGTGCTCTGATTAGTTAATAACTCCAAGAAGTATTATGGTTTTGCAGCTATGTTCTATCTGGTTCAGTCAGTAGCAGAGACTACTGGTTTGCTATTCAATAGCCATCTCCTTTTATTCCTTGGTAACAAAACCTTGCTTTTATATGAGACCACAACCGTACATAGCCAAAGGATGGCATTTTCTTGCCTCTTTTATTGCCAATAGTGGTCAATGAGAAGCAAATGAAAGTCACAGGCTGGGGGCCTCTAGGAAGTTCCTTTG